AGCGTTTGTTTCGGCCATCAGTGTTGTTTCGGAAGCAAAGACGTAAAAATGATATTTTGCACCATATCCAACTGCGGAAATTCTTCCACAACTCGTAAATTTTCAAATAAATGGATAACATTTCATAAAGAAGTACTTAGTGTTTTAAATAATGTTGTTTTTATTTAAATATACTTAAATAATATTATTTATCTCTATTTATAGTATGGGCAATAAACGAAATTCTTGTGTTCGTAAATTTCCTAGAACACGGCCGAAGGAGCCGAGCGCGAGTCAGTCAGGTGACACTACTATTTTGTGTCGATAATTTAATTATATATATATATATATATATATATATATATATATATATATATATATATATATATATATATATTTGGCTTACCTTGTTTTACCGAAACCGGAATGAAATGTGATTTTTAATATTTATTTACACCCTACTATTTTTTTCTTTCTAAATATTTTGTACGGTTAACAGTTTATCAGCGATTATCTATTTGTTTTTTTAAATTACTTGATAAATTTTTATGCAGTTTTGATATATTAGTAAGTATGGTAGACTTAATTTGATCTGTAAGAAGCCGGGTAACTGAAAAATAACAAATAGTTACAGTTTTAAAGTAACTAAATATAATAAATATCTCACCCATACATATTATATTTGTCGTTTGCCGTTTGTATAATGTTTTATTCATTTTATTTTTACATCTGTTTATTCTATGCAATGCTATTATTCCAGGTTTCCAGAAGTTACGGATATTAAAGAAGAAAGGGATATACTTATCCTTAACGTTTTATTGTATCCCCTTTTCTCTAATTATAAAACATCTAAAAGCTAAAGCTATGACTAAAAGTGTCGATTACTGAAACTTTCACACTTTCAGTTAATTAGTTATCTCTTGATGTGAGATTCCTGGACGATCAACGACGCTTAATAGAGAGTTATCGATACGTGCGTTGCGCTACACTATGTTCAAGTGAGAGTGAGCGCACATTGTCATTTTCTGTTTTTCGCACACGTTAATTATTGGACCGAGTGGCTACGCCTCCTGAGATTTTACGTTTTTATAAAATATTCTTTAACGCAATAGTTTATAGTTTAATCTTTGTTGCATGAATGCTAGGGATATGTGTAGGCGTAATTGTGTATTTATTGTTTGTCTATGTGTGATAGTTACGAACCGGCGACACGCGTCCCGATATTAAAAGACAGTAGAAGGTATTTCTAGTGCCTTATTATTTAAATTTCTATGATTCCGACTCACCTAACAAGCTCAGAAAAGAATCTCTATTACATTTGCATTATATTACTCAAATATAATGCAAATGTAATAGATCCAGTTTTTATATTTTTTTAACGTTCTAGTTTGATGTATTTAATTTTTTTTGATGGCTTAGGAGTCCTTGCCGCTGTGGATAATGACCGAAATAATAATATTATTTCTATAGGTTGTATTTTGAAATATAATATTATAATTTTGTGCCTTCATATGTGATAATAAACGTATAGCAATTATAATAAAGATTTTAATTCGTCTCAATTCACACATGGTTATTGAAAATATAAAAAAGTCAACACAAACTTAACTTACAAATATGCTTAAATAACACAAAGGTAATGAGATAAACTGACCTGTGACTAGTAGTTTTATCCTGTAACTTAGCTGTGTAGTAATTTGAGGCCAGCGCTGGTATTCTGCCACAGCAGAATTTAAAAACACAGTATCTAGATTTGGAATTGACATGAAAAAAATGTGAAATAGTCTGAAATATAAATTCATATGTGCTATGAAAATTTGTTGCAGTGCTATGAGAATTGAAGAATGGATATAGGATGGAAGTGAATAGGTAAAGAAGGATAGATATCTTGGGTAGAGGAATGGAAATAGCAGGGAGTATATGGTCTAGAATATAAATAATCATACCTTGATGGAGAGTACCACTTCTCATTCTACTTATATTTAATATTCTTTTCAAGTTTTATACGTAAATAATAAGGTGATTTCGAATTATTTAATGAGTGTACGAAACAAGCATATTTTAGCTTTCTCGTGTCACCCATACTTAAATATTTTTGAGGACATAAGGAGTTATGTGGTTAGTCTTAGGTATGTGCAGTATATATATATATATATTTTTTTTTTGGAAAATTTTCGAACGGGTTGGTTTTTAGATGAACATGGAAAAAAAAAAAATTTTTTTTTACCGTTGAGGGTTGCTCGGAGTTTCTCTGCGTGATAGACTCAGAAATGTGGGTAACAGCAGTAAAACCAGAGTGACCGACATAGCCCAACGGATTATGGGCCGGCCATATAGCTTAAAGAACGATAACCGATGGGGAAGAAAGGTTCTCGAGTGGCAGCCTCGTACCGGTAGGCGTAGTGTAGCGACTCTCCACTAGATGGAGTGACGACCTGGTAAGACATGCAGGAAGTCGATGAATGTAGGTGGCTCAGGACCGTTCTTTGTGGCATTATTGGAGGAGGCCTATGTTCAGCAGTGGACTTGTAAAGGGCTGTAATGATGATGATGATGATGATGATGTCAAAACAATTTTGAATCCATATATTATATATTATCATTAATGGCGTAAGTAGCGTCGTAAAATAATTTGCCAACTCATTTCATTCTAAGGTGCCCCATTGGTACTATGGGAAATGTAGAGTAGATCACCATTTTTTTCTCGAAAGATATTGAAGATGCGAGTATCAAAGGTGAGGGACGTGGTTGTCGCCAAATATATCGTCGTCATAGGGATTTGGATAGGAGTATATTCCAGAATATATTAGATGACTAAAGATGTATTCATTATCATCATAATTACAGCCTTTCACGAGTCCACTGCTGAACAAAGGCCTCCCCCAAAGAATGCTACAAAGCATAGTACTGAGCCTCTTGCATCCCTCGACTTCCTACCTGTCTTACCAGGCCGTCACTCCATCTAGTGGGAGCCCACCCCACACTTCGCCTATCGGTACGAAGCTGCCACTCGAGAACCTTGCTTCCCCATCGGTTGTCGGTTCATCGAGTTGTATGGCTGGGCCACTGCCACTTCAACTAACTTTTCCTTTGGGCTATGTCAGTTACTCTGGTTCTACTGCGGATATGCTGATAGATGCATTGACTGCTACGAAATGCCAAAATTGGATGACGTCCAATAAAAGTAGGAATGTACTATATGTATAAACAAACTAACATAGTCTGTAAGGACTCACCTAACTAAACTCACCGTCCACCTGATGATAAGTGGCCACTACAACCCAAGGACATCTGCAAACAAATTCAAACAAAGAAGATACTAAAGATGTGTTTTCACATCTGTGGAGTAAGATGGAAAGTATAACAGCATGTTATTACACTAGCTTTCTATACGCTTTCAACCAGTACATAGCAGTGACGGAATGACCTGACGGAATCCAAGGAGTCCTACAACCTAGTAAAGCAAATGTATATCCAATGGTGTGCTACTTAATACCAAAAAGGTTAATCCAAAGTAACATGACGTCGGATGCGAAGAACATTTCGAACGTATTATTTTTTCTCTTTTATCATCATAATCGTTACAGCCCTTCACAAGTCGATTGCTGAATATAGGCCTCCCCCAAGGTAAATACTTAGCACGGTCCTGAGCCACCTGCATCCATCGAGTTCTTGCATGTCTTACCAGGTCGTCACTCCATCTAGTGGGGGGCCACCCTACACTTCGATTACTAGTACGAGGCTGCCACTTCCACCATCTCCACCAGAACATTTCTTCGCCATCAGTTGGCGGTTCTCAAGCTATATGGCTGGCCCTTGTCCAATTCAGCCTACTATCCGTTGGGCTTATATCGGTTCTACTGCGTTACACTCTGGTTCTACTGCCAATAACCTCATTTCTAAGTTTATCACACAGATGAACTCCGAGCATAGCCCTCTCCATAGCTCACTGAGCGACCTTGAGTTTACTCACACGGTTAGCAGTGAAGGAACACAACTCAGACCCATAATCACCACTGGTTAAATGCACTGTTTGAACAATCTTGTTTCAAAGTTTTGAGGTATACCCGACGAGAAGATGAGTCTTAATCTCCAGAACGCAAACCAAGATGAATTCGGCAATTGACCTCTCACTCAAAGTTAGAATTACCTAGTAGGCCTATTTATCTTAGGCAAACCTACTCGTCAGCAACTTCTAGTTTAGTGCTCCAACAACTACTAACATAGGTGGGACATGGATATTACACATAACCTTCGCATTGTACATGTTTATCTTAAGGCCTATCGGTTGAAGACACTATAGAGGTTATTGAGCATAGATTTTAGGTCCCCCAGCAATTCTGCCATAAGACTATATCGGTGGCAAATCAAAGGTGAGTGATGTACTCACCATTGATGTACATACCGTATCCTTTCCAGTGCAGTAGCTTAAAAACGTCTTCCAATACAGCGGTGAAGAGTTTCGGGGATATAACGTCGTTCTGTATTCGGATAGCTATCGTAGCCTTACTGTATAAGGACTTCGATATACCGACAGTCAACTTGGCACCATAAAAGGGACTGAAGCACCGCCCAAATTTCGATGGAATCAAAAGCTTTCTCATAATTCATTTGCGTGTGTGGGTTATGTGAAAGCTTTTGATGTGGTGAAGTCGTAGAATGTACTCGTTGGTCTTTTGTACTATTTGCCGAAGGGTATACTGTATGTGGTCTATGTTACAAAGCCTTTACTATTGGAAACCGATTTTTTGTCTTTATTTTGGCACAAACAGTCAGTTTCGAAAAACTTACATAAACTTAACATTATCTAAAAAAAGAAAAAGAATGCCTAAACATAATAATTTTGAGTTTGATTTGGAAATAGTGATCTGACCTTGCACTTGCGCCCACTTGAGGTGGGCGCGTTGCACAACCCTCACGAAATTTTGAATTAATCATCCCAACTGTGTATATATACCACCGAAATGAAAATGTTGATATCACAACTCATTTTGAACAACATCTGTTGACCCACTGGCATCATGAACGCCTTTGTCACTGTAAGTGGTAGCTTTTTTTTTAAATTAAACTATAGGATGTGAGGCTTGTTCATCTTTGTCCTCAGAGGTCCTCAGAGGACAACTCAACTTTAGCCTTCTTTGTTTGAAGAGTCCATGAAGTGCAGAAGGCACTTACTGGTGGTGGTGGGCTCAAGTTGATCTGTCACCACAGTTTTTATAAAAACATTTACTAAACGAGCTGCACATTGTAGCAATGTTTAATTTTATAGTTAATAATCATTTTTGTACAATAACATAATTTGTAATTCTAAGCCAGCCTGAAACTTAACAATTGATTATAATAATAAGATTAATTAATTACATAACTAGAATTATTTTACTTGTGGTAGCGCCATAGCTATAATATTATAGTTGAAACACGAATGTGTCAGCTCGACCGGGGAAGGACCATGCTCTCACATAATACATACCTAAAATAGCAGCGTTACACTGCTGTATTTATATTTTATGGTGAGTGTTGAGTACTAGAAATCGTATTTTTACAAACGAGGTATTCAGTCCTTATCCTCAGGGTGACGATGCATCTGATTCTCAATTGAGGAGATTTCTGATCTGATCTGATTCTTAATAGAAGTAGATGTCTATAGCCCACAACATCCACTTGTTTGTCACTCTTCTTCTATAAAATATATCTATAATATTAAAAATATTTTGTAATATCGATCGACATTTCCTATTTATATTTTTTATTTTTACACCAAAAACTATTTTTTAAATAATCTAATAAAAGTAAGATGTTGACACGGAATATTATTGTAAGTTGATTTTAATAGAGTTTCAAAAAGGTTCTGTATTGGAGGTTTACGTTTTTCTTTAGGTACATATTGTATTTTTCATTTTGTTTTATGTGTAAAAATTAATAAAAAAATCAAGTAAAAAAAGTAGTAGAATAAAAACCTGTTGACGTATTGGAGAAATTAAATTTTAGTTCTTTATTTTAATTTCACTTGTGAAAGGCTGTAAAAAAGATAATAATCTATAAAATGTTGGTTACTGCAGGTACTGGCGGTGGTGATCGTGGCCGTTGCGGCGGAGACTAGGGACAAGCGCGGGCTGGTCCTCGCCTCGCCCTATCTGAGCGCGTACAACGCTGCACCGCTGCTCTCCTCGCACACTCTGCTGGGCGCACACTCCCTCTACTCCTCTCCTTACCTTGCCGGCTCACCTTACCTTAGCGCCAGCTCACTGTATTCTCCTCTGTATGGCTCCTACTATTCCCCAAGCCTTTACGGTGCTCCTTACCTTACTTCGAATGCTCTCTATGGCGCACACGGTCCGCTACTCACCTCGCTGTCTTCTCCTCTGATCTCTGCTCACTCCTCTCCTGTCATCATCGCGCAAACTTCACCCGAAGTGACGGTTGTGAAGACATCTTCCGAAGAGCACTCCAGCGCAGGTCATAGGAAGCACGAGACTGAACATAAAAGCGTTCACCATAACTACTGATATCATTTAAAATAAATATTTTAATAAAAATGTGACACATTTTATTTCCAACTTTAAGGATGAAAATTTGAACGATACATTTCAACTTTATTCTGTAGGTTTTCCGTGACTTCATCTACATGGGGAATACGTCAAGCCGAAATACAATATTTTGTTGATACACCCAGACATGGAATGTGGTTATTGCACGAAGTATTTGTCAGCAGTTTCTTTGGCGTGGAGTTCAAATTGCTTTGATATACACTTACTTATAACATACTGTTAATGAATCCCTAAAGTAGTTTGATTATTTATCACTAACGCATGAAATGAACTCTTTAACAGAACATTAAAAACTAGCCGCTAAAGTTCTTTGTCCAAAATGATTTGAGGAACTAATTTGAAGTCCACACCGCAGTAAATGAGAAGATTGAAATCCAAATTTATCAGTAAACTTTGTACGGTTTATAATTCCGACAGCACGTGTAAGTTTTAGGCGCTCGGTACTGCCAACATATGACATTTTACCATACGAAAAGCACGAAGTGTCCAAATGATAGAATAGAATATAATATAATAATTTTAATTAAATATGGATTACAGGAATGCTTACTGAAAGTAATAAAAGCAATATAAGTAATATAATATAAGCTTAGTGCTGCTGTGGTTACAGGTGGTTAGGTGTAGAGAACCAGAGATCCTTTTTACTGGGTACGAGGCATTCCAATTTAGTTTTTAGGGGTTACAAGGCATCTGCATTTAGATTTTTATTCGAGGATAGATGTCTTTGGGCCACAGCATTAACATATTATCAGGCGCGCTGTGTAAATAAAATACATTCATTTACAATATAGCATTTTATACAATTTAGTGCGTAAACATTTAGATATAACCACTAATACGAAACAATAGCATGGTAGAGATCACGCTATTTTCAGGGGTTATTTTTTATTTTTTTTAATATAAGAAAAAATACAGAAAATCACAATATAAACATCACAAAAACCCTTACAGGTTTGTCTGGATGTTGAGACACTTTTGAGTAATCTGTTGACTTAGTTCTACATATTATTATTTAATAAGAACACACATGGTAAATAAAAAAATGGAGTTGGAAAATAAATGAAAGAATAATATTCTATGGTAAAATTGAAAAACAAAATTTTTGAAGGTACATATTCGCTATAACTCTGAACCTACATGCTGGTTTATAACAAAAGAGCTATAATAAGATGTGATAGATAAGATAAGATATATGGTAAAAAATAAGTACAATTTTGTTAAACATCTAAATAATTTAGTTGCAGAAGCTTAGTTAAATGTAACTAATAAAAAACAAATAGTAACACCACTAATAAATGTCAAATTATTATTAAATAATAACTTAGAAATATATGGAGTTTACGATTCTGTTTTAAATACTTTTCTGATTATTTATGTTATTGAATTTTTTTTTCAAAATTTAATGGGATCACCTTTGAGGCCTATTTAATAAAAAAAAGAATAGTTAAAATCGGTACGTCACATCACAATCTGCAAGGATATCGCGTGACACACATACAAAAAAACATATACTCGAATAGAGAACCTTTTCCTTTTTAAAGTTGGTTAATGAAAACATCATTAGACTCAATGTCAATTAAATACTCATTATTAAAGGTAATTTAAAAAGTAATTTTGAGATCTTGATTAAATTTATAGGGGACCACAAGAGAACAGCTGGTGCTCAGCTTTCAAATAAAAAAATATCATCAAAATAGGTTCAACTAGAAAAAATCTAACACATATAAAAAATTCAGTCGAATTGAGAATCTCCTCGTTTTTTGTAGTCGATGGAAAAAGTGATTATTTTCAAGTCACATTATTTGAAATCATTACAAAATCATCAAACTCCAGAACTGTTTAGAAATTGCACACAGTATTTATTAACAATGTAGGTAGAGAGCTCTGCATTCCACTTTTGAATTCATAAACTTTTTAACGTGGTAGAACCATGCAGCAGCTATATTATTAGTTTAGTCGTAGCACGGATTGATCGGCGCGGAAGGACCACGCTCACACAGAACACCACTGTAAATTAGCAGCTTAAGGCTGTTGTGTTTCGTATGGTGAGTGTAGAGCACCGGCGACCTTTTTCCTGGAAACGAGGCATTCCATCTTAGTCCTTACCCGTGACAACGCATCTGCATTGTGATTCGTAATTGAGGATAGATATGTAGAGCAAAAAATCACTGTCAGGTCGACTGTGTGGTCGTTTGTCATCTTTATCCTATATAAAAACTAGCGTTCATCAAATAGATGATTATTAGTACTTCATTGGTCTAGCATCACGGGGAATTGTCATGGTGCCGACGAGAACTAATTAATGTACCAGAAGCACACAGAGCTACAAGATTAGGCTTCACCAGCCCATGCTTATTAATCTTTCTGACATAATAGGAAAAATTGCAAGGAATCGTATAATTATTTTTCGTTTAAATCATCGCATGAATAGAAAATTAAATTTTAATAAAAGTCTAGAGCTAGAGTCGATTTATACCCTTTTACAGTAACTAATTGGCTGCGGTTTTCTAAGTAAGACTGGTTAATAAATTACCATGGATGCCGTACCACTTGATATTCTGAGAAAGCAATGTATCATTCAGTCTGTCAAAAGCCTTACAAAAATCGGTACATATTGTGTCAACTTGACCACTTTGGTGATATTGCTATGGACTTTCCTTGACAAAACCCTGCTGTTGCTCAAAGAGAGCTGGTTGTACATGATAATATATTCGATCATAAATTACAGATTCAAGTACTTTCGCGATACAAGAAACAATAATGATCGGTCTATAGTTTTCGCATAACAAATAATCACCTGATTTGTGTATTGGAAAAACATGTGCAAGTTTCCACGCTGATGGAAGCGACCTGCTCTGAACAAGTCTTTAACTTGTTAAAGAGAATTGTCAAGGGTAGACTTAGTTTTTAGTTTTAGACACATTTTTAAGAACTGTAGGTGATATTTGGTATAGTCCTGCGTCTTTATTAAGATTAAGTTCCTTTAATTTAAGAATTACATCATGTTCTGATACAGTGAATTCCGATAGCACATTTTCACACACTAGGAATGATGGCAGTAATGATTGAGTCGTCGTTGGATCTTCGAATACTCAGCTAAAGGAATGCGATAGTAAATCGCAAATTCTCTGGCATTACCAAGCGTCATTGTGCTTGGGATACCTTTTTTAGCTTTTCTGTTCGAATCGATACTTTTTACCGAATTTTTTCTGTTCCGTAAGACACTTTTTTAGCGCTGTTAAGAACCATATTGGATGAGAGGAGGCCTCTTTTTTTAAAGGAACATGTTTAACTTACGAGTACACTGGCTCTTTTTACACTTCTGACCAGTGCACAGTAGTGTAGAGTGTAGACACTGCTGCTTGGTGGCAGAAATAGGTAAGAGCGTGGTACCAGCCCAGACAGACTCCTAAGAGTCCGACATCCTAATACAGCTAATGTAGACTTAGTGGTGTGTCGCTGCCAAAAGCCTGGTCCAAAGTTTCGTGACGTCAGATACGACAGGCATTTTGAACGTAGGTATTTTTCTAATGATTGTTTGTGCCAAAATAAAGAAAAAGATGTAACATTAAGTTTATGTAAAATTTTAGACTTAACTGGGGAAGACCACGCTCTCACAGAATACCAGCGTAAAATAGCAACTTAATACTGCTGTGGTTCGTATGGTGAGTGTAGAGATCTGGAGAGCGGAGAGTGTTACTGGAAACGAGGCATTCCATCTTAGTCCTCAGGGGTGACAACGTATCTGCGTTTTGAATCTTAATCGGGGATACATATAGATATCTATGGGCCACAGCATCCACTTACCATCAGGTGGACTGTACGCTCGATTGTCACCCTTATTCTATAAAACAAGACATAAAAATAATATCACTTCCTATGATATACCTAGTCCGGACATATGTTCGATTACAAATGAAAATGCGTTTTTTTAAAGAAGTACTGTAATATTACTAAAACTTATATATACATATTCATAAGAGTCTCAGCAAAAAAATGAAAACAATATTCTAATCAAAATGGCTACCTTTGGATTTTAAACAGGCCTTTAATCTGTCTGGCCACGAATCTATGGATTTACCCACTGTTTCGATGGAAAATGTCGCCACTGCTAGCTCCAGAGATGTTTTAAGAGACTCAATGTCGCCGTGTCATTTAGAACAAGCCATATCCTCTAAAACTGACCATGATTTGTAGTCTAAAGGGTTGAGGTCTGGGCTAGTCTTCAGCTATTATAAAGTCCGGAACGTTGGTTTCAAGCCAGGCTTGGGCAGTTCGTGCCTTGTGACCAGGTGCAGAGTCCTGCTGGAAAGTCTACAATACATTTAAAAAAAAGTGTATTGCTGAGAGGTTTCACAACACGATCCAAGACTGTGATACACTTTGTACTTTTACTTTTACTTTGTTTATGTAGCTTTGTGACGAGACACGCCCCACCAAACCATCACTGACGCAGGATGATGACCACGTTGTACCTTTCTGACCACTTGGGCAGTTGCTTTAGGACCATGAGCGTACACTTTAGCACTTTGCTTAATGTAGTGCTCTTCAATCGTGAAATTTTTTTCATCGGTAAAGAGGATATTTCTTTGCCCTTCACCTGCGTATCGCGACTGAAGGCGTTTTGATCGATACACTCTCTTTAATTGTAAATATTGATTTAGGGCATGTCCTGTACATCGAAGATTAGCACCGAGCTCCAGGTCTTGTTTTATTATACGCAACAGAGTTCTAGCGGGAATTGTAATTTCTCGCGACAAAATTTCTGCTTCCTAATGGGATTTCGACGAATTCTGGCTTTAACAGCATTAATAGCCGATATAATAAGATCGAGGTGGCCGCGTGCTGTTAGAACTACAAAGTTCTAACAGCACGCGGCCACCTCGATCTTTGATGGTCTTCGATAGAGGAAGTTTTGTTGTACCTGTTGATAGTACGATATATGATCATACGGCTGATATCAAGCTTTTGAAGTGTCTGGAATGTGACCGACGGCTCCATACCTACTTTGTGCAAGGCAATAACCGCAATCCCATTTTCTTTAACATCCCATTCCATATTGTAATTTGATAATGAACACGAAAAAATATGTGAAATAAAAAGAAGAACTTTAAAAATAATGAACCCGTTGAATGAACCGAATTAAAAATAATTAAAAAGTTGAAAAAAAAAGAAAAGTTTTATGTAACAGTATTTATGGCCAGACTAGTTACATACTAAACACTGCAAAGCATGCATACATTATTTTTGCGCGCGAGGACAAATCTGCTTAGGTTTGCGCCTATGTAACGTGCTTTAAAATTATCGAATATTATTTCCGTGGAAACAGATATTTAACATTGCAACCTGGCAAACGTCACAGAAACAGCGCACAGAGTCTGTTAGATTTTTAAAAAATTATTTTTCTTAATTATAATAGTGTATATTTTTTATGGAAGTAGTTATATTTATCAGGTTTTTTTATAAAGCATTGTCTTGGTTTTTTACTCTTATGAAGCTGTTACTGTTTTTTTTATAATGAATAAATTGTATAAATAAATAATAAAAGTGGTTAACACCCTCTCTCGCCCCGAGCATGTCGTAAGACCATGAGCAGTATAACCCTCTTGCATTTATGCTAGGAATTTGTAGATAGGTGTCGGGAAGCACCACTAAGGATGCGAGTCGTCCGTATCTGAGATTAGAATTTTGAGTTTAATTTGGAAATAGTGATCTGACCTTGCACTTGCGCACTCCTGAGGAGGACACGTTGCACAACCCTCACGCAATTTTGAATTAATCGTCCTAACTGTGTATAAATACCAATGAAATGAAAAATTTGACATCACAACTCATTTCGGAATCAACACCTGTTCACCCACAGGCAACATGAACGCGTTTTTGAGTGTAAGTGGTAGCTTTTATCTTAATTAATTTTAATTGCAGGATGTGAGGCATTTCATTTTTGCTCTCAGAGGACAGTGCAGTAGCATATACTGGTAGAATATACCGGAGGGAGAGTAAGAGCGTGGTTCTACCCCAGTCGAGTCGACCGATTCGTGCCACCATAACATAGCACCAGCGTGGCTCAACAAACAAAAACAAATGAAAACAATAACACCATTATACAATATGTAACAAAAACCCTGCGGTTCCCGTTAAGAATTAATTTGCACCACAGATACAATTTGCAAACAAAAATTTGTTTTAAATTAAATTAATTCTTTAATGATCGAGTTTTCTGAAAATAAGTTATTTCTATATGTTTAAATACCGATTCTGATAACGCACTTACCGGGAACCACCAAGTTTTTGTTCAGAGTAGTGAAACAAGTTGTAACATAACCGAAAAAAATAGCTTTACATAAAAAATAATTATTAAAAGTTTCACCGTATAAAGAAAAACTTAAATAAGTACATAACCGTTACCGTTCAGTGCCGTAACAACCTCTAGTCCGCTGCTGAGCACAGGCCTCCCCCATAAATTGCCATACAGGAAGGATATGTGCCATACTTGCCAAGCTTGGCAAGAGAGAGTTGGCAATCACAGTTTTTAATTTTTAGTCGTTATTAGAAGACGCTGGTGCCCATCTCCTTATTTATTTCACTCTTCTTCCTCTTACGACACCCACGGAACTATATGGGGACTGCATGTTCTTACATCGCCACTACACGTTACGTTAAGATAACCTAGTGGCAACCTCATACCGGTAAGCGAAGTGTAGGGTGGATTCCACTAGATGGAGTGACAATCTAGTAAGGTATGCAGGAAGTTGTTAGATGCATGTCAGGGTCGTGCTTTGTGGCATTCCTTGTGGATGGTATATTCGGCAGTAGACTTGTGAAGGGCTATAATGATGATGATGATGATAACAAGTAATATGTTTGCAACTGCAGCTATTGGCAGTAGTGATCGTGGCTGCGGCGGCGGAGACTCGAGACAAGCGCGGGCTGGTCCTCGCCTCACCCTACCTGAGCGCGTACGGCGCAGCGCCGCTGCTCTCCTCGCACGCACTGCACTCACCTCTTCTGGGCGCACACTCCCTCTACTCCTCTCCTTACCTTGCCGGCTCACCTTACCTTAGTTCCAGCTCCCTATATTCCCCTCTGTATGGCTCCTACTATTCTCCAAGCCTTTACGGTTCTCCTTACCTCTATGGCGCACATGGTCCACTACTCACCTCGCTCTCTTCTCCTCTGATCTCTGCTAACGGATACTCATCTCCTGTCATCATCGCCCATTCCTCGCCGGAAGTTACGGTGGTGAAGACTTCTTCCGAGGTACACTCCAGCTCAGGTCACTCGAAGCGCGAGTCTGAACACTAGAACGTCCATCATTAGTAATGGCATTAGTTAAAATAAATTTAAATTAAATAAATATATTTTTAGCAAAATCCGTTTTTCATTGTTATTTATTTAAATTATACTTGTTTTTTTCTTATACACGTCAGCTATAGGTTTTTTTTAACATACGTAGGTTTTTAACCCATAGCTGACGTGAAACACCAACGCTCCAGGAAGTCTGCAGTGTGTGATCTGATCATATCCTAGACGGCTCCCGCTAGGACTTACATCACATTTGATAGATTACAAATCCTCGCAAAAGAACATCGATTACTAACACAGAAATCCAAATAATAAGGCACTAGAATCGCCCTCTACTGCTCTTTTAATATCGGGACGCGTGTCGCCGGTTAGTAGCTATCATACATAGACAAACAATAAATACACAATTACGCCCACACATGTCTCTAGCACTCATTTGTTATTAATTCTAAATTATTGAAGAGAAAACAGAATGCTATATTTCGTGCAATCAACTATTAAAATTCTTGAGTTATCCATATTTGAAGAATGCCATTTTTATATACACTGACTCACTAGTTTACCCACACGTCAAAGATCTGGACCATCTAGTTGACCTAGATTAGAAATTAGGTTTTTAATTTTGACTTAAAAACTTGAAATTTGATGGAAGAAAAAAGTATTTGGAAAATTAAAAATGTACACCTCGAACTCTCTGTTATGTTTTTCGATAATCAATTTATTTTTATTCTACACTGAAACACGTATTTTGTTAAAAGCTACTCGTTCAAGAAAATTGTTTCTGTTTAATTAAAACAGTTTCCTTCGACTACTTGATACCTGTGATTCGCATTTTGTTACCGGAAAAAAGAACGGGACGGTTTACAATAGCGAAATTCAAAAGGCTTCCTAAGGATTAAAATCTAAAGCTAATGAAAAAAATCTAAAGTTCAGATTTTCGAAAGACATCTTACCGACCAATTGCCATCCAAGTGAAATTATTTTTAATTAACTTTATTTTAAGTAATAATCGAACTAAATAGTCTTATAACAACGTCAGAAGTATTAATTTAATTGCTGTTGGTGTACTTTTCTTTTAATTATATAAGTGCAATATAAAACTGGTGGAAGTGAGTTAATTTGACTTTTCTGCTTCGTGACAGAAACAGTTAAGAGAGTGGTACATGTCCTGATGTACTCCTAAGAGTCCGACTTCCTAGTACAGCTAATGTAGACTTAAGCGGGCTACATACGACACGATATCGGTGGCGATCTAGGGTGGAAAGAAATCGGGGCTTTTATCGGGGTAGACCTTACACACGGGCCTGCCTAGCAGTACGCGTTCGGACTTGGAGCGGAATGCATATGCGGTAGAGTTCTTCAAAATACCTCCGACTCTCTTAAAACACCACCGTGTTGGTTTGGCATTAGCCATCTCGGTTAATTTACTCGAAAATAGAAAAAGAGAAGTTGCTGGGTGAAAAAATGGCTCCAAAAGAGATAAAAATTAAGCCACATAAACGTACTAAATGGCCTGTAATCCAAGGACGTGATTAATTTTCTCCGGCTGGATGAAGACAGTTTTTATAACCTTCTAGAAATGATTTCGCCACTTATATAAAAACGTCAATTTCTCCTACCTATGCTATTTAGTTATTTCTTCTCGTTGTTCATTTCTGCTTTGGTCAAAATCTGGTTATGTATTACACACAAACAAGGAAATAAAATACTTTTGTATAATAATATGTATACTTTTTTTTTTAATGTAATCTTTATTTATGGAGTAAAACAATCAGAAAATAAAATAGCTTATATCTTTTTTTTAAACATAATGAAACCTTTAATTTCGGACATACTCCCTTTTATATAACTTGTTTGTTGATGTGGAGATGGTGAAGGAGTAGAAGTTAGTTGTTGATAAGAGGATGAAGGCACGTAAGAGATCGAAGTGTGGTCTTGTGGAGTTGTAAGAGATATGAGTGCGGTCTTGTGTTGATAGCGTTGGAATAGGAGTTAGTTGTTGAGGAGAGGCTTTATCTTCTCCTTACTTACATCATACACTCTACTTTACGAACGGCAATAAAAAAATTAGTTTAGTAGGCATTCTTGACCATGTCACTTCGCAGGGTCACAGGCTAGGGTGGATATGATTTGAATTTCGATAAAATTTCAATTAATTTATTTATTTTATTCACTTTTTTTTGGTTTTTGTAAAATATCAGCGCCATAGGCTTCTACTCCGTTTATATGATTAAAATGTAAAAATTTTGTTATATAAAAAAGGTCATTCAGTATCACTGTTTTGTTAACTTCCTTCCGCGAGGGTTGCCGGCAGCGACTGCCAAAAGAAATCGGGCCGATGCGCCTACACACACGCAGTAAGGAGGGGGCGGTGCCCCGATCTAGGAAGCATCGGCTGATCTAGGAAGCATTTTTTGCTCCTGCCAGCCGATTAAGGAGGCGATATCGGCTACGACTTAGGATGGCCCTACATACGACACGATTTAGAGGCAATCTAGGAGGCATCCCCACTACTCCACCCTAGATCGCCACCGATATCGTGTCGTATGTAGCCCGCTTTAGTGGTGTGTCGCTCAGTACCAAACGCCTGGGCTAAATTCTCGTGACGTCAGATACGACAGGCATTTTAAGCGTAGGTATTTTTCTAATGACTGTGCCAAAATAAAGAGAAAGATGTAATGTTAAGTTTGTGTAAAATTTTAGCAATTCTTTTATAGGATAGGGTGACAAACGAGCACACAGTTCACGTTATGGCAAATGGTTGCTGTGACCCATGGACAACTACATATATCCTCGATTACGAATCAAAATGTAGATACGTTGTCACCCATGAGGACTAAGATGGATTGTCTCGTTTCCAGTAAATAGAGTCTCCGGTTATCTACACTCACCATACGAAACACAGCAGTATTAATCTACTACATATTTAACGCTGGTATTCTGTGGGAACGTGGTCTTTCCCCGGTTAAATTCACAAGTCGACTGATGAACATAGGCCTCTCACAAGAAATGTCACAAAGCACGGTCATGAGTCACCTGCTGACTTCCTGCTTGTCTTATCGAGTCGTCACCCCATGTAGTGGGGGGTCGCCCTACACTACCCCTACCGGTACGATGCAGCCACTCGAGAACCTTTACGTTCTACAACTATACTACTAATATAACTGCATCATGGCTCTATCACGTATACTTAATATTACTTAAAAAGATCAAGAACGCCTAAATATTTTATTCTTACGATATTATGGCCAAATATTGAAAAACCCTTTAATTTTAAGACGTAATTCAGTCTCGTGGTGTCACAATCACTTTGAGTGAAAGTAATGGAGGCAGCACGAGACTTAACGGCATCTTAATATTGAGAAGGGTTTGAGTATTTGGACATTCTAACGTGGTAGAGCCACGTCGCAGCTATATTATGGCTGTAGCACGACTTGATAGGGGAAAGATCAAGCTCTCACAGAATACCAGCTTACGCAGTTTAATACTGCTGTGTTTCTTATGGTGAGTATAGAGATCCGGAGACCCTTTTTACTGAAAACGAGGCATTCCATCTTAGTCCTTAGTGGTGACAACGCATCTGTGTTTTGATTCTTAATCGAGGATAAATGTAGATGTCTATGGGTCACAGCATCTACATACCATCAGGTGGACTGTGAGCTCGTTTGTCATGGTTATTCTATAAAAAAAAGACATATCTAAGGTCCGTATTAATAAACCTTCCTCAACGACGAATTCTAGTGCGTAATCATGTGATACACTTTCATTACGATATCAGCATCTTAAGAGCATTGCTAATTAATAAAGACATGAAAACATTACACAGTTAGTTACCAAGATCAGCTCTTCAAGACGATGTACTTGAAATAGTGCTTTGAGACTTGAGGGCTTGATCTCGTGAACGATTACGTAACAACACATTTCACGTTATAAAGTTGTTTTTACTCAAGAAAGCTTTAAATTGTTCAAACTGTTGTAAAACTGTATGTAAAAACGACTTAAATGTTTACTATTCAACTCAATAAGTATTAAAGCGACAGAGTCAATGTCAAAAAAGAGACAACACCAAACAACATCTGCTTGTTTCAAATGTAATGATTTTTTTGGTCTCCCACGGTGAACAAAGAGGAACCCACGGGGCGGGCCCGGGGTGACGGGCCGGCCTGAGGGGGCCGCTCCGAGTGGGCTTGGGGAGCCCACTTCGGATGTGTGCTGGGGGACTGCAGCGGGTGGGGACTGGTGCCCCTCTACCGCTGCAGCCGAGGGGGAGTCGCGGAGGAAGAGGAGTGTTGGTATGGCGATGCGCCACTCGCCCTATCCTTCGCGACTCAAACGGGGCCGCACCGTTGATGCGGTGGTGGTGGGGCTGCGGGGGGGAGAGGATTGTCGGTATTGCGAGGCGCCGCTCTCCCTACCCTCCGCAGCCGAATCTTGGTTGGCGGCGGAGCCATAGACCAGATCCGCCGCTGGGGTCGGGAAGGCTAGTACTTCTAAGTGCTCGTTTTTCCTGGCCTCATGGCCTTTGTGCATCGGACGCGGGGGCGTCTGTTGCACAGACGTAGTTGGAGGCCGTGGAGGAAGGCGCGCCATGTGTTCTGGTGCGCCTTACCTGGGAAGGAGAACGGGGAGGAATTTTCCTCTCCCGAGGAGGTGCTGCCATGGGGCGGCAGGCGCTAGTAGGGCCGTGGATGTGTGTGAAAGCGTTCCCGTAGCCCTGCCAATATGCGACAAAGGTGGAACACCATGGGGTTTTAGTCGGTGCGAGTCCGACATAACCCGTCCTTGCCCCCCGCGAGGCGGGTATGCGTAGGCATTTCCCCATGCAAAAAAAAAAAAAGGGGGGGGCAACAAGCATGCGGCTCACCTGATGATAAGTGACTACCGCCCCCCATGAACAACTAACTGCAACACCAAGGGAATCTCATTTTCTTGAAGGTCCCTATGTCGAATCAGTCCGGAAAAATCGCCGACGGTAAGTAGTTCCACACAGTGATTGTACGAGGAAGAAAACTCCTAGTAAAAAGCACAATGCCAGACCGCCAGGAATTCAGATGGTGTGGGTGGTGTCGTGAGTTTGACGCGATGATATTTCGTAAAATTTGGCGGAATTAATCCGATCAATATTAAACTCTTTGTTTGTTTACTTAAAACATCACTGATCTCGCGGTATAATTTATTTACCGAAAGATTGGGAAAACATGTTTTCTCGACATTACAAAATATAACGGGCTGTGGTAGAAAATAAGCAGATCGACGACGCGTCTCAAAAGTATTGTAACTCAAAAGTGTTTGAGGCATACAATGAATAAAGTTTTAACGAATGATTTTCCGAAATTCTTAAAATATCGTAATAATTCATTTCACTCAAAATTTTTTCAAATTCCCTAATTCGCGCTACTATAATCACGATCTCAAGTCACGGATCGTCTGCACTTATATTTTAGTATCTCAAGTACAAAAACCTAGTGTGTACTTGAGAGTCGAGTTTCGTTATTGAACAGTGTGTCACTCAGTTAATAAGATGATAACTTCAAGATGAAGAAGAAGAGTTCCTAAGTGCGTTCACTTAAGCTGGGGGACGTTTATTAATATATGCCATATAACTTTCTATGGTAAACATACTAAACACTGCAAGGCATGCATTATTTGCCGTATCATGGTTACTAATTTAGGCGTCGCCATCATCCAACTTTTAAGGTGCCGCACGCGAGGACAATCTGCTCAGGTTTGTGTGCCTCTGTACGCTTTAAAATTATTGAATATTATCTCCGAAGGAACCACTGCAGCTTGGCAAAGTTCACAGAAGCGGCGCACAGGGTTTGTGAATTTTTTATAACAATTTTTATTGATTATAATAGTATATATTTTTTATCAGTAGTTATTTCTATTAGTTTTTGTTTGTGTACAGCATTGTCTTGATCATGTACTGTTATGACGCTGTACTGTTTTTTTATAATGAATAAACAGTATAAATAAATAATAAAAGTTATTAGCACCCTCTCTCGTCCCGTGCGTATCGTAAGACTATAAGCATTATAACCCTCTTGCATTTATGCTAGGAATTTGTAGATAGGTGTCGGGAAGCACCACTAAGGATGCGAGTCGTCCGTATCTGAGATTAGAATTTTGAGTTTAATTTGGAAATAGTGATCTGACCTTGCACTTGCGCACTCCTGAGGAGGACACGTTGCACAACCCTCACGCAATTTTGAATTAATCGTCCTAACTGTGTATAAATACCAATGGAATGAAAAATTTGACATCACAACTCATTTCGGAATCAACACCTGTTCACCCACAGGCAAGATGAACGCGTTTTTGAGTGTAAGTGGTAGCTTTTATCTTAATTAATTTTAATTGCAGGATGTGAGGCATTTCATCTTTGCCCTCAGAGATCCTCAGAGGGCAATGCATCTGTAGCCCTCTTTGTTTGAAGTTGGCTGCGGGAGTCCGTGGAGTGCAGCAGCCATGTGGTTCCATGTGGTGGTGGGCTCAAGTTAATGTACATATTTACATATTTGCAAGTAATATGTACATATTTGCAAGCCAGCGCGAAACTAAACAATGGATAAATAAACTTATGTTGTTTTTATCCAAAATCTAAATAATGGATAAAAACAACATATGTTTATTTACATAATTAGAATTATTATACAATTGGTAGTGTCATACAACAGTTATAATATAGTTCATGCACGAACGAGTCAGCTCAATTAGAAAAGGCCCACGCTCTGACGGAATACCAGCGTAAAATAGACGTTACACTGCTGTATTTATTATGGTTAGTGTAGAGAACCAGAGATTCTTCATTGAAAACGAGACATTTTGTGCTAGTCCTTAGGGGATTTCCACACTCATCATACAAAACACAGCAGCATTAAGCTGCTATTTTACGCTGGTAGAATACCAGAGAGAATGAGAGCGTGATCCCACCGCAATCGCGCCGATCTGGTCGTGCTGCAGTCATAACAGACATTATATATCACAGTAGTGAAACAAGTTGTACGTGACTAAAAAGTTGCTTTATATAAAAAACTAGCTTGCCAGGCAGACATTGTTCTGCCCTTTTCGACGACCCTTTATCATGTCCTATTAAAAAAACCTTAAAATAGCAAAAAAAAATTTTGATTCACTCATGAGCAAAAAAACTATCCTATCTCTCAAGTTGGACGAAACTGCACACGGTGTGCAAGTCGGTTAAGTAGTTTAGGAGTCCATCGCGGACAAACAACGTGACAAGTAATTTATATATATTAAAATAATTTAAAAGAAGTTTCACCATACAAAGAAAACTTCGAACAAATACATTACCGTTACCGTTTCGTGTCGTCACAGCCTATTAAGGTTCACTGCTGAGCACAGGCCTCACAGAAGGGATGTTTGCCATTGTTGCGACGCTTGGCAAGAGAGGGTTGGCAGCCACAGTTTTTAATTTTTAGTCGTTATTAGAAGACGCTGCTGCCCGTCTCCTGATTTGTTTCACTCTTCTTCCTCTTGCGACACCCACGGGATGACATGGGGACCGCATGTTCTTACAGCGCCACTACACGTAACGTTAAGACAACCAAGTGGCAGCCTCGTACCGGTAAGTGAATTAAAGGGTGGATTCTACTACATGAAGTGACAGCCTAATAAGATATGCAAGAAGTCGATAGATGCATGTCAGGGCCGTGCTTTGTGAATTCCTTGGAGGAGGCCCATGTCAGCAGTAGATTTGTGAAGGGCTATAATAATGATGTTGATGATGATAACAAGTAATATAATTGTAACTACAGGTACTGGCGGTGGTGATCGTGGCCGCTGCGGCGGAGACTCGGGACAAGCGCGGGCTGGTCCTCGCCTCGCCCTACTTGAGCGCGTACGGCGCGGCGCCGCTGCTCTCCTCGCACGCTCTGCACTCACCTCTTCTGGGCGCACACTCCCTCTACTCCTCTCCTTACCTTGCCGCCTCACCTTATCTTAGCTCCAGCTCCCTATATTCTCCTCTGTATGGTTCCTACTATTCTCCAAGCCTTTACGGTGCTCCTTACCTCACTTCAAGTTCTCTCTATGGCGCATACGGTCCGCTACTTACTTCTCCTCTAATCTCTGCCCATGCTCATTCCACTCCCGTTATCATCGCACACTCCTCGCCAGAAGTTACGGTGGTAAAGACTTCTTCCGAGGTTCACTCAAGTCACTCGAAACGGGAGTCTGAACACTAGAACACCCACCATTAGTGGTGGTATTGTTTTAAATAAATTTAAATTAAATAAAAATATTTTTAGCAAAATCCGTTTTTTATTGTCAATTATTTAAATTATGTTTGATTTTTCCTTACAACTTATACACGTCAGCTGTAGGTTATTTAACATGCGTTAAAAACCTATAGTTAACGTGAAACACCGACTCTTCGGGAAGTCTGCAGTGTGTCATCATATCCTAACCGCCCCCCCGCCAAGACCTAGATCAGATTTAATACACTAAAAATCCTCCCGAAAGAACATCGATTAATACCAAGGATGATATGTGATGCCAAAATTGAAAAGAATAACATTCTTATTTAAATAGAGAAGGAGGCTGGGTACTACCACGTGCTTGAGATCATGTAATTAAGAAAGAAATAAACTAAACCCAAGCATACTACTGCAACACTTCTAGACTTTCTAATTCTGCGAAAATCGGACCAAAATCAATAAAAAGCTGAAGGTAGCTGGACGTCCTTGCCAAGAACAGCGTGCTGCGTGCTGCACAGAACAGGAAAGGCCGGGAATTAAAAAAAATGGTAAATTAAGTAAAATTAAACGCGACAAAATATACAAAAATAGTTTTATTCAAAGTCCCTAAAAAGTCCCTAGAAGTTCAAAATGGTAAAACCACGGCTACGTCCAAAAGATAGTAACTGCCTTTAGTTTCAGTTATTGTGCAAGTTCACTTTACAAAAGAAACGACATGATGACTACCTATTGAGAATTTCTAACACAACTGTCTCTGCTATAAGACATCTATCTTCTTCTCACTTTATAAAGATGATAAAATCGTGTCTTACTGATGAAGGCTTATGCAGTACATCAGCATACTTTATTATTATTTATAACTTTTTTATGTAGTAACTAATGCTTTTGGTGGTCTACAACCATCTTCGCATTATTGCTTTTCTAATGAAACCGGTTTGGGCACATCGGTTCGACGGTTTCAAAGTCTGACGGGCATAGGTAGAAACAATTTTTGTATTTTAGTTCTTATATGTTTATTTCCAAACATGAGCTATATAAAAATATTGAACAAATAATAAGAATTGAGGAAATTAATTTATATTGAAATTTTACTATTGAAATAATAATAAAGAAGTTATACAATTGTTACAAGTATATGACCTACTTATATTTAATCGCAAACTATTGAAATGTAAATTGCTGTATTTCATTATATTTAAAATGAATGTTAATGTCATATTAAGTTGAAATTGACAACAAAAAAAATCGTACATTTTACTGTAACAAAAATATTAAACTTCAATAAAAGAGATAAGCAATTTATAATATTACTCTGTTTCTCTATTTTCTCTACGACTGTTACTTCGTTGTGGAAGAAAGGTTCTCAAGTGGCAACCTCATACTGGTAGATCAAGTGTAAGGTCCCCCCACAAGATGGAGTGATGACCTTGTAAGATATGCAAGAAGTCGATGGATGCTCTTGGCTCGGGATAGGGCTTTGTCAAAGAATTTAAACACTACGCGAAAAGAAACGACAAAATTAAGCATGTGTGCACGTAAAATCGCTTGCGGCTATGTGTGGGTGTCTTGATAAGCGCGGGGGGCCTTGAGGGGGCGTGGAACGGGCAGTCGCCGACTCGCCGACTGCCCTGGCCGAGGGCTAGTAGTATACCGATATTTGTCAGTATTAGTTATGAATACCTATATATATTCGTTAAGTGATATTATAATATTTCAATTAATATATGAATATTACTGATTTCTTAATACGACGGTTATACATTACTATTTTATATATATCTGTCTATATATCTATAAAAAGTTATACATGCTACGAATTTTTGCAATTGTTAGAAATAATAATGAAAATTATAAAAGTAATCGAAAAATTACTTAATATAAGAGTAAATTAATTTTTAAAGGATAGTAGGTAATACTGATTATTGTGCACTGAAATACTAAGTGATGGTTAATTATTTATGATTACCATTAACTGTCGTGCATGTTTGGTTTTGTCGGAAGTTTTAATATTCCTCATTTGTAAAGATATTTAATAAAAGTTGATTTAAAATTGAACGTATTTTTCACTACCCAAATACATAAGTTTACATAATATATAACATATACCTACTATGTACCTTCTTTGGTAAAAGTCTATAATATTCCATTTCGGTTCGATATCAACCCTACACGCTTCGACTCAAGGTCACCGGCGTACCGTGTCACCGCTGTGGCTTTGTGGCATTTCTTGGGGGAGATCTATGTTCAGCAGTGGAGTTGAGAGTTGTGGTGTTTTTAATTCATTATAATAAAATAATTACTTAATTAATAGTTGTCTAATTGATTCGCAATTGTATGAATGCACTAGCTTCTACTAATTTAATTATAAAATAAAATTATAAAACTACAATTTTTATTACTGAAGTTATTATTTAAACTGAAGTTGCTGAATGCTCTACTGTAATACACTTCAATAAATATTCAATTATTTGATTTTTAAATAATTAGCTTGTACTGATAACGTGTAATGATAATGATGATGATGTTAATTCGTTAGTTGTTAGTGTAACTTTAACATAATTAGGAAAAACTATTCACATGTTATAACAATAATAAATTTAACAAAGTTGTATTATAACAATTTCATGAAACTATTTTGATTAAAATTATTTGAATTAAACTTTTAATTGCAATATTTTCTTCGCCAGCTTCTACGACCCTGTTTTTTCTAATGCTATATCTATAACAAATGGAGTATGGAGTTTTTCCATAGAATTTAATAATAATTCATACTCGTACATTAATAGTCGCTTGACACGTGATTACTTAATGATTTTATTACGCGATTACTTAATAAATTACTGTGTTTATGTCTTTTATGTGTTTTTTATGTTTGTGTACCAAATAAATATTTTTCTTTCTTTCTCTCTTTTTATATTTACGCGAATGCTACATACGACTTTTTAACTTGACGCACTTAACTATATTAGTTGTATTTCATACGATAATTAACTATTTACTTATATAGGAAAAATAAAACGTTTTATCTGGTTTTATATATAATTTAATATATACTCGTACATAAATAATTACTCAGATTTTTATTTTAATTACACGTGTTATATACGTAGTAGAGCCATTCTGCAGCTATATTTGTATGGTTGTAGGACGAATGGGTCGGCTCGACCGGGGAAAGACCACGCTCTCACAGAATTCCAGCGTAAAAAAACAGCTTAATGCTGCTGTGTTTCGTATGGTGAGTGTGGAGAACCGGGGACCCTTTTTACTGGAAATAAGAAACGATTGAAATCTACCACGTGTTATTTATTATTTCTTTGAGTATTACATAATAACATTTAATATTATCAGTTTATTAAATCTAGTAAACGAAGGAAATTGTATTTTTTTTATATAATAAGGGTGACAAACGAGCACACGGTTCACGTGATGGTAAGTGGATGCTGTGGCCCATAGACACTACATTTATTCTCAATCGAGGACAGATGTAGATGTATATGGGCCACAGCATCCATTTATCATCAGGTGGATTGTGTGCTCGTTTATCACTCATATTCTATTAAAAACATGTAATTATTAATTTTAAGATTACCTAATATAGGAAATATAAAAAAAATAGTTTTTAAGAACGTAAATCTACCATAGAACGTAAACATATTACATAAAAAAATTGATTACATAAAAAGAATCTCAATTTATAATGTAAATATTGCAGAATAAATGCAGATTCATGTCACCGTTGAGGTCTAAGATAGTATGCCTCGTTTCCGGTACTGTCTTCGGTTCTCTACACTCACCATACGAAACTGCTAAGCTGCTATTTTACGCCGGTATTCAAGTGATTGAAAGTGTGTGTATGCGACTCGGATAATATAGATTCCTGAATGTGAATCCTATCCAATGCTAACATTAGTTATAAACGTAATTGGTACAAAAAGAATGTTGGTATCAAGGCCTGAATCATGTACAAGAGAGCAACACACGCGATGTTGTTGTCTTTGGCTCGATAATTGACTGAGAAAGACTTTACTGCATTGTGCTTAATCTTCATATTTAAGTGTATATCTATATTATGGAATATGGCTATAACTGAGTAGGTAATCCAAATCCAATCTAAAACGAAACGAAACTAATCCAATCGAAACTAGTAAAAAATAAAGATATTTTTGATACAGGAGGGGCAAACGAGTATGCGGATAACTTGATGGTAAGTGACTACAGAAGCTCACGATAAAGAAGACAAGACTGTAATAGTTCATCCATCCATTACAGCCTATAAAAGTCTGAACATAGGCCTCCCTCATAAAGTGCTTCATAAGAGTCATTAATCCACAGTTGCCATCCTTGGCAGGCAGATCAGGAAGAAGATGCTGCTGCCCATTTCATCCTTTATTTTTCCTCCGTCGTCTCTTACGACAGCCACGGGATGATGTGGGGAGTGGTAGTTACGTAGTAGAGTCACGCTGCAGCTATATCGTGGTTGCAGCACGAATGGGTCGGCTTGACCGGGGAAGGACCACGCTCTCATAGAATACCAGCGTAAAATAGTAGCTTAATGCTGTCGTGTTTCATATGGTGAGTGTAGAGAACCGGAGACCTTTTTGACTGGATATGAGGCATTTCATCTTAGTCCTCAGGGCTGGCAATGCATCTGCATTTTGATTTTTAATTGAAGTTAAATGTAGATGTCTATGGGCCACAGAATCCACATACCGTCAGGTAGACTGTGTGTTCTTTTGTCACCCTTATTCTATAAAAAAATTAAGACAGTAACACTGTTTTACTTTAAGTCAAATAAAGTGGAAACTTTGATTCAGAACAGTTCGTATAAGATTATTTTTAACCTTCCGTTTAGAAGTAGTTACCGTATAAATTAATCATTGTTTCGTCCTCTATTATGACAAGTAATTTGAGCTACAATTATCCATTTAGTTATTATAATAGATTGCCAGTCTAATAGACCAATATTGGTTGGGCTGAAAAGTTCGTATCGTCTCTATGAGATGGCGCCACTAGAATAAAATCCATATCATTTTTAGATAGTACCAACCTTCAAAAGAAACGTGTATAAATTTGACAGCTGTCTGATTATTAGTTTGTGAGATACAGCATTTTGAGTGAGGCAACTTTTGTTATTTTGAAAAAAATGGATAAAAAGTAATTTAGTGTTTTAATGAAACACTATTTTTTGATGAAAAAAAGTGCTGCTGATACCAAAAAGTGGCTTGATGAGTGTTATCCGGACTCTGCGCCGGGCGAAGCAACCATTCGTAAGTGGTTTGCAAAATTCCGTACAGGTCATATGAGCACCGAAGACGATGAACGCAGTGGACGTCCAAAAGAGGCTGTTACGGACGAAAACATAAAAAAATCCACAAAATGATTTTGGAAGATCGTAAATTGAGGTTGATTTGTATAGCTGGCACTCTAAAGATATCAAAGGAACGTGTTGGACATATCGTTCATGAATATTTGGGTATGCGAAAGCTATGTGCAAAGTGGGTGCCGCGCAGGCTCACAATCGACCAAAAACAAGAACGTGTCGATGCTTCAGAGCAATGTTTGGAGCTGTTCAACCGCAATAGAAGTGAATTTTTGCGTCGATATGTGACAATCGATGAAACATGGATCCACCACTACACTCCGGAGTCCAGTCGACAGTCATCTGAATGGACTGCCCGCGATGAACCGAATCCAAAGCGTGGAAAAACTCAACAGTCGGCCGGTAAGGTTATGGCGTCCGTATTTTGGGATGCACATGGAATAATTTTCATCGACTATCTTGGAAAGGGAAAAACTATCAACAGCGACTATTATATAGCGTTATTGGAGCGTTTGAAGGACGAAATCGTGAAAAAACGGCCCCATTTGAAGAAGAAGAAAGTGTTGTTTCATCAAGACAATGCGCCGTGTCACAAATCGATGAAAACGATGGCAAAATTGCATGAATTGGGCTTCGAATTGCTTCCGCATCCACCGTATTCTCCAGATTTGGCCCCCAGCGACTTTTTCCTGTTCTCAGATCTCAAGAGAATGCTCGCTGGAAAGAAATTTAAAGCCGATGAGGAAGTAATCGCCGAAACAGAGGTCTATTTTGAGGCTAAACACAAATCGTACTACAAAAATGGTATTGAAAAGTTGGAAGATCGCTATAATCGGTGTATCGCCCTCGATGGCAACTATGTTGAATAATAAAATCGAATTTTGCCAAAAAATGTGTTTTTCTATAAAACGATACGAACTTTTCAGCCCAACTAGACCGATCGACAAGTTGTGTAATTTTTTTAATTATATTTTATTTTTGTAGAATAAGGATTGTTACCGTGTAATGGCTTTATAGGAATATCCACTACCCCCTATCATCCCGTGGGTGTCGTAAGCGGCGACAGAGGGAGACAAATCAGGAGATGGGCAGCAGCGTCTTCCCAATATGAGAAATAGCGACCCGGTGCCCAAACTTGGCAGTATGGTGAATGAATATGGAAATAGGGGGACCTATAGGACAATATATGGCAAAGGCCTATATATTGAGCAGTAGACTTTAATAGACCGTAACGGGAAAAAGGGTGACAAACGAGCGCACAGTCCACACGGTATATAGATGCTGTGACCCATAGACATATACGATTAAGGACGACTGAGGACTAAAATGAAATGCCTCGTTCCCAGTAAACTTACCATTTAACACAACAGTATTCAGCAACTATTTTACAGTGGTATTCCGTGAGACCGTGGTCCTTCCCCGATTAAGCCAACCCATTTGTGCTACAATCATAATATAACTGAAATGTGGCTTTACTTTATATAAAGTCATTTGGATTTCGAGATTATGTTGTGGCCGGATCTCTCGATCAGGCGCAGGACCAACGAACGGCTTTACGTGTTTTCCGAGGCACGGAGGTAAAAACCACCAACCTCTTGACTACTGGCCACTATTGAGAGTTTCTTGACAGAAAAACCCAATTATTGATTTTTGCCGGCCCAGGAATCGACCCCAGGACCTCATGATTAGCAACCGGGTTTATAACCACAACACCAACGAGGTAGTGTTTATTATTATACACTAATGGGCACGTTTCTCCTATCAATTCTGAAAGGGGTTTTTAATATAATAGGGTGGAATTAATGCCATGTGGCATTATGTACCAGTCAACTCTGGGTACTAAAGACAATTGTCCGGATGTGTGAAACATATTACTTATATAAAGTGTATATATATTAAAATATTTATACATAGTGCATACATATAGAACGTATATTTAAATATACATACATATATACTATGTGTACATACAACATGTAACGTAATTAACGCACACCGGCAGGCACCTCAGTTAGTATATTATGTTATAATCATAATACAAACGCTGACTTTTTAGTTAAACATGTTTATGCATTGATTATTTATTAAATTAGTTGTACTAATTCCGGAACAATATTGTGGTCACAGTACAAATCCACCAACGAAGTATACTTAACTGTATTTGTAAAGACTTTAAGAAGCTTGAAATAAGGTTCATTTTTATTTATTTTGCATTGAATGACGGAATTTGTATTAATACAAATAAAATTGCACTTTTAAAAGTTTTATTGCCTTGAATTACGGTCTATTTCAGATTGTTTTTTACTGTACAGGTTTAATGTGACTGCAATTTACGTAGTTTTAATTATTTTTGGGATAAAAAATTACCTACATATATTAAAAATGATAGAAATCGATTCAGTAAACGATTCTGAACAAATCACTTTTAGGATGTGCGTTAAATATGTTACATGTTGTATACAACGGCGCAGAAGTGTAAGTTCACCGCCGTGCTCTACTGCGTGTTGGCGGACGTCACATTCCTTCAAGTATTTTTATTCCTCAAAGATTTCCTCTCGACGCTTTGCTATTAACATTTTCGTTGGTGCCGATGGGGATCTACTCAGGGTTTCTCATGTATTCATTGTCAGCGAGCTCTTAGTCCAAGAGCTGCTGAGGCTGAGGCTAGGATGAGTGGCAGTTTCTGTACACTAATGGACAGTAGACAACGAACATGCATTAACTCAGCAAATTACACTCATACAGTTTTAATACAGAAAATCATATTGTAGATTGATACATCGGAGACAAAAATAAATAAAGGAATACAGACATAGCATAATTTGATTTCGTGAGTGACGTAATCTCTGAAGAGGGAACTTAACATGATGCTATCACACGGTTGCGGAAGCGTTGGTTTTCAGCAATGTCCGTTGAGGTTGGACTCGCTTGCGAGGGTAGTGGGTACGTTACATTTCTATGCTCGAGAAAGATGTTATCAAAAATAATTATGGCATCATGAACATATTTTTACGAACTTAACTTTCTTAAAAGAACATCATAAAAATGGTATAAGTTATATTTTTCCCACAATTTATTGAACGAAACTGCCTTGACCAAATTGTTTTGTTTTTAGTTCGTCAATACGTCGGTATTTTATACAGTATTACCAAACTGCTGGCCCAAAATGTTGTCGATACGAGTGAGATTTTAAGCTAATTATAATTTTGAGTTGGATTTGGAAATGGTGGGTTGACCTTGTACTTGTACATAACTTAGGAGGACACGTTGCACAACCCTTGCGCGATTTTGAATTAATCGTTCTAACTGTGTATAAATGCCACCGAAGTGAGTATCTAATATCACAACTCATTTGGGAATTAACACCTATTGACCTACTGGCATCATGAACGCTTTTGTAACTGTAAGTAGTAATATTTTATCTTTATTTATTAAATTATAAACAATTTTATTAAACACGCTTCATAGTAATGTAACAAAATATTTCGCCCTTTTAGTGGCGGTGTTTTAATTTCCATTATCCCATTTCGTTGTCAGAGGCAATGTCAGAAAAAGAACGAGGAGATGCGTTTTGCTAATTACAACTAAAATAAAAAAAACTGCGATTTTTCAACCCGCGTGCCAAGTGTGGCATCTATGGAAAACGTCCCCCCATTATGAAATCTTTAATGGTAACAGTTGTAGTAGGAACATGATTGTGGTCGACCTATTGTAATTGCTCAATCAAAATGGATCGTTCGGGTCGACGACATAGGATCGAACGTTACCGGTAAACATTATGATATAAAGATGAAAGAACTATGAATATAAATAATAAATTAATAATAAATTTTTCCTTCTACCCTAAAACCTCTTATCTACAATCAACATTCTTTTTATGTTTTTTTATATATACGCAAATACCACATTAAAACTATTTTTTATGCAGTTTAATCAAATCCGTTGAAGTAGGTTTATTCAAATTGTAAGCATTATTTCGGAGAATTGATTCTTTTGATTACGCGAATACTATATATTTAAATAAAACTAGTTTTTACGGACGGACGTCGAACACCTCAGCCCCGCCCGTCACCATAAGTTCTGTAAAGTACTCGAAACGTCGGGAATATAAGTCAATATATGCGACAAAATCGGTAAAAACTACTTTTATTTAAATATTCAGAGAAATTGTGAAATATGTTGATTTATGTTTTTGTGCTTCCCATTCTGTCCAAAAATAATGCAAATCTGTCTGAATTTCAGAAACTGTAATATTATTATTATAACTATGCCAAATTTCAATCATCTTCGTAAAAATATATTGACAGATAGTCGAACGAACACGAAGTGAAATCATGTGTTCTGATTTGCAAATTTTCGTACAGAATACTAATGTTATTGGTCAATATATTATTATATTGGGAAATATCATTAACATTCTACATTCCCCATAGATTGCCTCATAGGGGCATATTTGTAGTGGTTGGCACGCTTGACAAGCGAGCTGGCAGTCGCAGTTTATTATTTTTAGTCTTTATTAGGAAGACGTTGCTGCCTGATTTATATTAACATTAACCAGTTTTTTTAATCAAATCAATAAGTTATTAACTCATTTGAACAAAACAGTTTATTAAATATTAAAACCGAAGTGACATTGTTGTAGCGAATTATAATTGTAACTTAAATTCAACTTTATGTTTCGTTATTGTAATGTTTTGTATTTAATTTTTTTTTATATAAACTGAGCACTTACAAAAACTTGACTACAGTGCCAAAAATTTAAAAAATCAGGTTTGTCATTAAACATATACAAAAAAAGGAAAAGTAGTATATAAAGTAATGTCTTATAGATTGATAACATAATATTTTCTTTTCATAAGTAGTGTTAGTTATCTTATGCCATGAAATGAGAGGCAAGGTTCTCAAGTGGCAGCCTCGTACCGGTAGGCAAAGTTTGGGGTGGTCAGTCGATAGCTGCAGGTGGCTCAGGACCGTGCTTTGTGGCATTACTTGAGGGAGGCCTATGTTCAGCAGTGGACTTGTGAAGTGCTGTAATGATGATGATGATGTTGATCAAATGAGAAAATATGTTTTCACATTGTTTGAGATACAAACGTTTTAACTCCCTTTTTTATGAAAAGGTTTTATAATTGACAATTTTAGTACTTCAGGAAATTTTGCTGACGAAAATGATAAACTAATAAGATATATGTTGTATACTTTATATATTAATAAAAATTCCGCTTTCGTATGTTAATCTTAGAAATGTTTGTAACAGATATTGGCAGTAGTGATCGTGGCCGTGGCGGCGGAGACCCGGGACAAGCGCGGAGCGCTGGTGAGCCACGGCTCGCTGCATGCTGCGTCTCTCCTCACCTCGCCCTACCTGAGCGCGTACGGCGCAGCACCGCTGCTCTCCTCGCACGCTCTGCACTCACCTTTACTGGGCGCACACTCCCTCTACTCCTCTCCTTACCTTGCCGGCTCACCTTACCTTAGCGCCAGCTCTCTGTATGGCTCCTACTATTCTCCAAGCCTTTATGGTTCTCCTTACCTTACTCCCAATTCTCTTTATGGCTCTTACGATCCACTACTCAATTCGCTCTCCTCTCCTCATGCACACACACCTCAAGTCATCATCGTGAAGACATCTCCCGATGAGCACTCCAGTTCAGGGCACTCGAAACACGAGTCTGAACATAAGAGCGGTCACCATTAGTATTAATATTATTTAAAGTAAATAATAAAATGGATATATTTTTTTAAAGAAATATACGTTTTTTATATTAATAATCTAAATTTAGCTTGTATTAGGCATCATAAGTCGCCTTGTCTTGGGGCTTAACAACCGTGGCGTGGGCACCTGTGGTAAACGAACAGGAACCCCGCATGGCTGCTCCAAATTGACGAGCCGGCCCGAGATGGCCTCTCCGAGTGAGGTTCGTAAGCCCACTTAACGTAGGTGGAGTTAGAGGCCGTGGAGGAAGGGGCGTTTTGTGTTCCTGTTGTGCCTTACCAGAGAAGAGGGGCGTTGGAGAAGTACTCCCCCAAGGAAGGGTTTGTTTGTAGTGGCTTGCACTGTGGGGGTGGTGAATGTGAATGCGTTTCCATGGCCCTGCCCATATACAGCGAAGTTAGAACACCATGAAGTTTTAATCGGTGTGAATCCCACATAACCTGCCCTTGCCTCAGCATTTTGATCTTAATTGAGAATGTATATAGCATCATACACTTACCAGCAGACCTATGTTAACCACCATAATATCTAATATAAAATATCATAACGTTTTTGAAAAACTATTTTTTAAGAACTTAAACTAGACAAACTGTCTGTAATCACTTTTCCATCATTTTCCATATTTATGAAGTCGTAACAGTCCACTATTGACATTGGCTGCTAAGGGGAGGGAAGGATTTCAGTTATATTGTGGTTGTAGCATGAATGGCTAGGCTTGAGAAAACCGGATACCCTTTTTACTGGAAACGAGGCATTCAATCTCAGTCCTCAATGACAACGCGTCTGCGTTTTCATTTTTAATTGAGGATAAATGTGGATGACTATGGGCCACAACATCCACTTACCATCAGATGCTGTGTGCTCGTTTGTCACCCTAATTCTATAAAAAAAGCTTGACAGGTGAATAATGATTTAGAGATCGCAGTAGCAGATCTCTCTTATTTCTGCCGGTGCTCCAAATCATAACTAAATAACCATTTTTAAAATGTTTGTCCATCTGTCCATCTGTCTATCTGTCTGTCTGTTCGGGCTAATCTCAGTAATGGTTGAACCGAGTGTGACGAAACTTTATGCACACATAGAATGTGCCACTCCACGATGGTTTTGGCCCAGCTGTAACAAGACCGGCCTGTGGTCCAAGTCAATGCCTTCTACAAGAGGACGTTTAAGTATTGTTACCTCAAGGATGTCCGGTCGATGACTGGTAGAGAATGAATAGCGAGTTGGAGTCTCAGGTGCGATAACATCGAAGTTTAGGATTACTTCTAAGCGCGTTTAAGGAGGAATGCTTGCTGTTTAGGTCTACAGCTATTATATCACTGGGGTCTAGGTTTAGTAAATTTGCAATATCTGGTTCTAATAATTGTTTAAGTGGCAGTAGGTGTTTAGGTGGCAGCAGATAGGTCAGTCAGAGCTATCCTACAAATTGACATTTATAGGTTTATTAACGGTGAAGCGGCGACCGGTACACAGTCCAAGGACTTCTTGTAGTAAATAAAGGAGTTGCCTTTATGTTTGATCATCCTATCATTTCTAACAAAGGAGTAATTTGAGATCAGCCAGGAGGGATCTAGGCTACATCATATATATAGTATTAAAGATTTTTTTTGAAAAAACTGACAAAATACGTCTTTGACTATTATTTATTTAAACTTTATTATACAACTTTATACTAAGGGAAATAAAAGGCATTATACTAAGGGATATAAAATTTGAGAAACTTTGGCAGGTGTGACATGCAAATTCCAATCACTTCATATATTTAATAAATAAGTAATAAGGATATAAGACAAAATTAAATGCAAATAAATAGAATAAATATAGTTAGTAAAAATATACATACGTACTTAATATCTAATATAGAATAAATAATAAGTACATAAACGGGTACTTCTATATAAAATCTATAAGTAAATAAAATATTATGAGACAAAAATAAAATACATACATTCTACAAAATATGACTTAAAGCGAAAGATATGAAAATAACAATAGTTGGATAAGGTAGGCGGTATTATTCTTACTATAGAATTCTAAAAGTAGTCTTTTAAAAGAATTTTTGTTAGTAGTTTTCTTGATATCAACAGGCAAGGCATTACAGAGTAGTATGGACTACACAGTAAAAGAGAAATTAAAGAAACCACTCCTATATGGTGTAATACGAAATAGAGTATTTTGGGAACGGGGAGTAGAATACAAATACTGAAATTACTAGTTACTAGTTTAACGTAAAGTATTCACGAAATCTGACAGGCATGAGAAAAAAACTCTATCTCTTTCTCTAACTCCGGGTCTCATATGCATGCTAATATATTGTTGCGTGCCATAATTAATGCCTGGTACATGGCGACTTAGCACTAGCGCCATCTTACTAGATCGAGTACTCCAGTAGCAGAACTAGAATAGTCAAGATCCTTCTAAAAAATTCCACACTAGAACTTTCTACACCCATTCAGTCGGAATCGGTATGTACTCGTACATTCTAGATGTTTCAGTAGAAAAGGCCCTATATAAGGCCGGCTAGGACCGCGACCGTGTCAGTACTTAATTGGTGATATAAGCGAGTACATCGTAAGGATACAACTGCGAACTAATGTAATCAATGGTACAATTGTGTTTTATTATTAGTTGTCTTAAGTTGTAATTGGTGTTCTGTAATTAAAATGTCAGTTTTGGTAATTCAATCGGCAGTTTTTATTGTCACGAACCCCAAGCTCGTAACAATATTATTTGCTTACCTACCTCTTTAGTTCTGTATTGGCATTGAAGATCTTAGATAATTAGGCAAAACATATTTACTTATTTAATTTTCATGTTAAAACGCCTTTTTAATGGGCGGACTCCCTTCACCATGTTTTCATTGACTCACTTTCTTGTTTGTCTGTCAGATGGAACCATGCAATTCACGAGCACATCCCAATGAGCTGGACTTTTGAACATAGCTAGACAATGTAGGAATATGATAAACGTGGTAATTTTTTTAGTACAAAATATAAAAAATCACCGTATGTCTGTTCGAATGTATTGAGAGATGTGTTAAAAAGGTCGATATTAGTAAATTGCTTACTACATATGTCAGCGGAACTTGTTGAAAATGTTATAAATTTTACACGAGACTATTTGCTATAAATATCCACTGTTCTTTATTCACTAAGCAAAAACAACTGTTTCAAAGGTTTATTAAAATGTTGTAATTGTTCATTATCATATTTTTAAATTAAAATTAAGGCAGTTAATAACGAGATTTACAAACTTAATTTTAAAATCACTGAAATTTGTTGGGTTTTTTACCTTTTATTTAAAGTAACTTTTTGTACACAATTTAAAACAACATAGTTATGCAAAATATTGTTAGCTCACTTCGTTTAATCTTAATTATACAACTGCATTATTTAAGATTATATAATCAATTTATTTTGTTTGTTTGAAGAAGTTTGAGCTATATAATTTAATCGTATCTGGCAGAAAAAGTCAAAAACCTCTCATTACTGAGATTCTCTGAGGCCAAGGTCAAGGAAGTGTCCAGTCCAATGCGTGCTAGCTGGCTTCACATGTCTTCTAAATATATTAGTTTTAAAGTCGACAGTAGCCTTATGGCAGGGTAGGGAGGGCCGTGGTTTTTTTTTTTAAGTGTACTGTAATAGGCAGTTGGTTCTACTATTACTTGACTATTGCCGTAAACCACTCCTGGTGGTAACACAATCATATTAAGCTTACCACGAGTGTTTGATGAGACTATTACTAAATAAATCACTTTATTGCCACAATAAAAAAACATATTTATATTTAAACTAAGTACTACTACAAGTGGAAACAACTGGTGAAAAATTAGGCGTGAAAACCATTTACTTAAATGTAAACTAAGATTTCCTTGAGCGCAGACATTGTTGACGCTGAGCGTTATTGGTCTTGCACCTTGTTTCTCGCCAGTCGAGTAGGATTGCTGTCCTACCGACTATGATTAAAGACATAGAAGGTGCACATGTGCCTGAGCAAACACTTGAGCACTACACTTCCGTCCATCGTATGTGGCTAGTCTCCTTTGAGATTGGCCTTTAATTAGTCTCCTTTGAGCTGTAGTCCAACGTGATATTGAAATTTATAATATTTACTAAAGTGACCAATAGATGGCGTTATTTACCCAAACTTGGATGATTTACGGTTCCGTGGCGCACTATCTTAGCTTAGCTACTAGCTACTACTATCTAACTTAGCTTCGATCTCGCACAAAAGCCTACTAAGCCTACTAAGCCTACAAATTATTGTTCCGGGTCTGGATATTTGTCCGTGTGTAATTTATGTATGTAAACTGCCTTCACAATACAAGAGAAAATTGTAGTGTGGGGCGAATTTTTTTAAGATTTTCATCTTCAAAGTGCTTAGGAATGTTTCCTGAAAAGCCCCGCTCAATTACATGCTTTTAAGCGGCTACCCCTTTGTATATTCGATAGCCTCTAATAAAGAGTTCGTAATTTACTGCCTTACATAACTCTTAACCAACTTAAAAAACTTACGGAAAATGAAATCAGCAAGGCGTAAACTATACAAATTAACAACAAATTACGTCTAAGAAAGTTAAACTTCTCATCTTTAGTAATCAATTTAATAATTTAAAGTTAAATTGTGTGTTGCAAATGAATTATAAATATGCTGGGCGACTCACAAAGGTGCGGTTAGTTCCATTATACAAGTTACAAAATAAATGGGTAATTCCCACTCACCTTGTTTTGAAGAAGCCAAAATAGGATTAAAGAAATTAAAATATGTATAATTTGGGAGTAAGATCTTTGGCCTGTCAAAAACAACAAAACTATTTCTTTTTACATAAAAAGTGTAATGACCTTGGTGATTTTATTTGTTACCTTATTGATTATTTGGCGCAAAATTTATAATTTATTTTTATACAATCGGTTTGTTACCATGATCAATATTATTATAGTTGGGGTAGAGCCGTGCTGCAGCTATATTATTGTAGCTCAAAT